GTACTTGCTGAATCGGCCTTTTTTTTTTTTGAGGTTTCGAGGCTCTGAGAATAGGAGAAGAATCAGAGAAGGTAATGTGAAGTAAGGTAATATGAAGTAAATCCAAAATTTGATTGAAAGTATAGATCGAAGAGAGTGGTACCTTAGAGGTAGAGAAACCTTGTCAGAAGCAGTCTTCATTTTTCGACTCTTCAGTGAAGACCCTTTACCATCATCCTCATCACTTTCCCAGTTGGGATTCTCTTCAACATGTTGAGGAACACGTTGAGGGATAGTAGCTACATAAAACAAGTTAAGGATGAGATGAGTATAGAAAGAAATTCGACAATATTTTTAGTTAAAGTCATTTACCAGGAGGAGGGTTGGTATTATCGACCCAACACAATGGCCACCATCTCCTTCGAGGAAAATAGTACACGGAACATCTCACATAGATAACTCGATCATTTACAGGAATCATTTTGTGCTCAAGATAAAACGGGTCGAGCGTCTTCACCCAAAGGGGGTGAGATAAGTGTTTAACTAAACCAAAACGAGCATTTGGAAGAGAAGGTATATTTTTAGGACAAAATTTTTCAAAATCAGTTTTTCCTCGAGGATTAATCACCTTTTTTGAGCAGATGTTCCTTTGTACCATTTTCGATAAAGAGACAGACGCATCAAAGATGGTTCGACCAATATTGTCAGGTCGATAACAAACTTTAAAAAATTGCTCGAATTGATAAATAATGGTTTGGTTCTTGTAAGTACCTGTTTGTTTCGGGCCCTGCGAAGAAAGAGGAGAGTTAATCAACTTCTTCAAAAAATCATCAAAGTTGAGAATTTTATCAACATAGTATTCACACCACCATCGAAGAAAACACTTCGAGACTAAGAAAGAAGGGGGAAAAGTACAAGGTGTAAGCCTAAGTTGTTTCTCAGGGGGTAAAATAAAATCCAAAACTTCCTTATAATTTCCTGTCTCGACACAAATATCATCATTAATACTTTCTTCTTGTCGAAGAGGAAGGGGCTTCATCTAGCACAGACCAAATTGCCGAGAGAAAAGTTGTGGTTGATAAGGGTAGATCCTAACATCTTTTTGTCTCATTCCGGAGATTATTACGTCCCAAGGAAGGAACCCAAACCACATCTCAGTCGAATTTGAGCTTATGCTTCCAACTTGGTTATTTTTTCGAAGCCAAGATGGGCCCATCAAAGTAGTGCGAATGAAAGGGGCTAAGTCTTCACTAAAATTAGTGAAACTAAGAATAGCGTCAATGTATTTTGCAAAATTATTAATTGAACACTTTCGTGGAGTGAGAGTTTTCAAACGTGCTCCCTCGAGTTCGCATGCTGGAGTGAAGGGCGAAGTTAGAGAAAGCTTCTTCTCGAAAATCGCGTTGAGCCATAATTAAAGTAACCATAGTGGTCTGGAGAGACTACGAGGACCAGACTCACGAAAAAGGCTTCCCAAAGCTTCATCGAGACAAGTATACAGGGAGGCCAACAAAAGTTTACTCAAACAAATTTTCTTCTTCAGATGAAGGGCTTGAGCCAATATGTAGTAATATTTAGGAACCTGGAGCGAGGTGGTGCAGAAAACACAAGCAGATAGCCAATACAAAGAAAGCAATATGCTCTAAGGTCAAAACAGGAGTATCAGGTTTTCCGATGTGAGCATTAATGAAGGCTAAGTAAGTCTTCTTATCCTAGGATATCGAGGTTTCCATGATTGAAATCTCCTCTTCAAACAAATCAGGGTAGAACCTATCCCCAATAGGTGCTAAACCCGTGATAGCAGCGATATCGAGCAGGGTAGGACAGATGAAACCGCAAGGAAACTCGAAAGCTCGAGTCTCTCTATTCCATAAGAATATAGCGGAAAGAAGCATTTGAGGGTCGAAACAATGCAAATCAAACTTAGCTAATTGGATAAACTCAGATATACCAGTTTCCACCCACAAGGAATGCATTGAATTTTCTACACGAGTTAACCATGCTAAATGCCTATCTTTGGTGGGGGGAAAAGCCCTAAAAATCTTGGTTGTGTCCCCAAAACAATGACAAATCAATTTCAGTAGAGTGTATGGAAGGGAAAGTAGAAGAATCCTCAGGCAACAGGGTGTTGCTAAATTTTTTCTTATTTTGAGCCTCAAATGGTCCTAAGAAAGCATGAACACTACCATTGTCAAGAGAGAAGGGGAGAAGTAGTTGAGATTGAAAGATTTTGACTCACCTCTTCCATGCCAGGAATAGGGACAAAGGTCTCATCTCTGTCTTTGACAATAAAACTATGGCATTGGCCATCAAAAAGGGAGTAGTCTGGGTAGAGGATGCAGTAGCCTTGGTTGGAGAAAGAGCAGAGGCAGTGGCGGAGGTTGATGCAGCAGAGTAGGCCATGACAAATAAAGGAAAAGAGCTTGTGAATGAAGGAATGAAGGAGTGCAAGATTGCTGGAGAAGAGAACCAAGAAACAGAGCACGAAGAGAAGGTAAGGAGACTTAGGCGCGAAGGAAGAAAGTGGTGAAAGTGGTTTTCACCTTAGGGTAAAAAGGGTTTTAACGGGCCTGAAGTGAAACGGGCCCATAAATTAATTTAAATTTCAAATCAAATGATAAAAACGGCCGCCAAAAAATCTTGAACAAGTAAGATTTGTGGGAAAACACAAGCATGCACCGTCAAAGCCATCAATGTCACATCAAAATGGTCATCACATTAAATAGGGGTCTGAAGTAGGTTTTTATCGAAGGAATATAAGTGAGAAAGCCGAATTCGAGAAAGAATTAAGGGAAATTCTCGATAGGAATTCAATTCTCTTTCACCAGTATGTTTGTCGAGACTAAATTCCTAGGGGGGCATTTGTTAGGACCACTTGAAAATCATGAAACTCGAAAGTTACATTTATAAAGCCACTCGAAAGAAGGATAAAGGATAACACCTATCAGGAGCCTTATTTGTTTGTATTTGAGACATGGTCGAATAGAAACTGGTCGAATAAAACAAAGAGGTGTTCGAAATGGATGAAGGAGGTTACTGGAGGTTTCCAAGTGGTTTGAGTAGTTATCCCAAAGCAGTTAATGAAAAATAAATTGAAGAGATAAAAACACATGGGACGAACGGTTACGAGAAATTATATTTTAAACCCATGTAGAGGATGTAGTGGATGGCAGTTATGCACCCATGATGGATTTACGCAAGAGTAACCACCCTCGAGGAGATTTTATAAATACAGGAATCATACCCCATCAAAAGGGTCAGAAAAATCATACTTGAAACTCTCAAGCACTCACCGCCTGCGCATATGGCTTTCGTGCAAGGAATTGCTGGGTATGACCATTTCTTGGCCACATTTCTTTTCTTCTTCTAGAACTAGGATTAGTGTAATTTTCTTCTTTTTCCGTAGTTATAGGTTGTTTGAACTTCAATATTGTAATTGTAACGTAATCCATATGCAAATTGGACGATGATTTGTATTGCCAATGTATGTTTTAATTACACTGTTCGCTTAAGTATTTACATGCATGCAAATTATTGTTTAATTATTATTCATGAGGATTTGGAAACCAACTTTTGTTGATCTATCTCGTCTACTTCCATTCTTAATAACACGAACACTTTGAAATACCTAAATTGAAACATTTGTCGTGCTAGTTCGAATAAAAAGAATCCATAAATCATCTTCCAAGAGACCAAAGAAGCTTGAAGTCAGGGGGAGCAAAAGACCTCTGCCCATAGGAGCTGAGCAACTCATCTCTAAGTGGTTTGCTGATGAAAAGACCCAAGACTACTATTTTGAGTGGTATGCGGGTAGGAGAATCATTCTTATGAAGACTTTGAAGCTAGAATGGTTAAAAAATGAGGGTTTTAGTTTTCCTCCTCTCTTGGAGCATCAGGAACTTGGGAAGTTCTTGGAGTTAGAAGGACCGTACTACCTTGAGCTTATTAGGTTGTTCTTATGTTTTGCCTCAAGCAATGAAGGGATAATGCAATTTGTGGTGAAGGGCAAGCTCATAAAGCTTGATGGTCCAACATTGAAGGAAGCAGTTGGGCTGAGCGAAGACGGAAGTACGAAACCCCAACCCTTCAATTTTGGAGATTTTGAGGAGCTGACAACTTTTACAGATTGTCAAGGAACCCGGAGACCACAAATTATACCAAATTTCAGGCCGGAGGTATGAAGAAAAATTCTAGGTTGATTTCTTTTATTATAGCTTGGATGCTTAAGCCTAGACTTCATAATCATGCTCAGATGTCTAGAGATGACATTTTGCTTATGCATGTTATTAAGAAAAAGATTAAGATAGATTGGGTATCTGTGGTGAATGATTGTATGTGGAAAGCTATGAGGAATGGTCCAATACCATATGCTTTATTATTATCTAGGATTTTTGAGAAAGCTGTTGGGGAGAGGCATTGCTTACACTAGTGCATGCTATTAATCTTAGTCTTACTGTTGCCTTGAATACTGTGGTTCTGGACAAAATTTGGTTGGGCAAAAATGTTAGTTATGATTATTTGCGTGTCTTTGGTTGTAAGACATTTGTTTACGTTCCAAAGGATGAAAAATCCAAATTGGTTACGAAGACAAGGCAATGTATCTTTATTTATTATGGTCAGGATGAATTTGGCTACAGGTTGTATGATCCTGTTGAAAAGAAGGTTGTTAAAAGCTATGATGTGCAGTTCATGGAAGCCCAAACCATTGAAGATATTAACAAGGTGGAGAAGACTACACCTGAGAAAGATAGTAATTTGACTGATGGTAATCCCATCACTACTACAAAAATACTATTTAACATCGCTATATTTACATCGGTTTTAGTAGAACCGATGTAAATCATAAACGCGGTGGAAAACTTGTAAATAAATAAAAAATGCAAACATATTTACATCGGTTGAAAAGAGAAAAGTTGTAAATATGAGCAATTCTACGTTGGTTTTATGATTGACGGATGTAGAAGTGGTTATTCTACATCGGTTTTGCTTATGACCCGATGTAGAAGTGAACCCCTCATATCGTGAACACGCTAGTTTAAAGCATACTCGGGGCCAAGGCCTCTTCGCTCTCTTCCTCCTTCGTCTTCGTCGTCGCCACGTCTCGCGCTCAAGTGCTCTCCACCGCGCTCGATAGACTCTCTTCCTCCTTTGTCTTCACCATGCGACATCGGTGGGCGCGAGTGCGAGGAGCCAGAATGCTGGCAGCGAGAAGAGGCAGGGTCACAGGCACAATCTTAGCCAGTGCGCTTCGGATCTTAGCGAGTCGTGTTCGACGCCGCGTGGTAACAGTGGCAGCAACACGCTACTCTACACGCACGTGATCGCGTTCACGCTGTACGAGTTAGAGACCATAACGAAGAGCTTCCGCGGCGACTACATCCTCGGCAAGGGAGGGTTCGGGACCGTTTACAAATGCTACATTAATGAGAACGTGAGAGTGGGACTCAAATCGCTATCTGTAGCGGTCAAAGTGTTGAACAAAGAGGGACTACAGGGACATTGCGAGTGGCTCGTGCGTTTCGCGTCTTGCATTTTGCGTTTTGCGTTTTGCATCTTTTTTTTGTTTTAGTTTGGATGGTTAATTTTTTTTTTGTGTGTTTTGGTGGTGTAGATGGAGGTGAATTTTCTAGAGTAGCTTAGGCATCCTAATCTGGTGAAGTTGATTGGGTACTCCTGGCACTCTTCTTCAGATCTTTCAGGTTCTAACTTTGCTCAATTTTTTCTCTTTTGGTTGGTTCTGTATAGATGGTGTCTTGATTGAATTTTTGACCCTTTGTCAGGTCATTGGAAGTGAGGGTTGGGGTGGATCTACTAGTAGCCATGGACTTGATGGTTCTCCAACTAACTGTTGGTCAAAGTAAGTATTAACTCTGGCTTATTTTTTGTCCTATCGTTGGTGGCTGATCTGCTATATATTAATCTATACTGTTGACTGTCATTTGAGATTTCTATTTTGGTTTGGTAAAATAAACTAGTTGGTGGATGTGTAAGTAAAATTAATATGTTTTGAATGCTTGTCGAAGAATGAAATTACTTAAATAGATATATAACTAAAATGTAATTTTATTTTAGTTTAGATACATCATGGCCAAATGCCACGACCTGTCACCATATTTAAAATATTCTAGGTGGCATGATTGTTGTTCATTGAACATTTGAAAATCTTCTATTTATAAGTTTTGTTTTTAGATGCAATTGAATTTTACTTTGAATTATTGATGGACTCTCTTGGCTTGAAAAGCATTATCTATGATTGCTCTTGGCTTGAAAAACATTATCTATGGTTGGAACAACTTTTTTTACTTGTAGCAAGACTAGTGTTTTTCTCCCTGTCTCTACTATGTTGGTGGTGCTTAAACTTAGAGACACGGGTATTTAAACCATGAATAAAACATATCTTTTATCATTATGATATATTCTAGCATGTTTAGGCCAGCTAATCCTTTTTCCAGCGTAAAAGTTAGCAAAATCATTGCTTCAAGCGTAAAAGTTAGCAAATTTTATAATGATTGAACTTGTTTACTATAACATGATTTCTATTTCTAATATTATTGCTATGCATATTTCCTTGGTTTTATTTGCAAGTTATTACTCATCTCTGTAACATATAACAGAACTCGGATTCTCATACAATTTTTTATATTGGTCATTATCTGAAGTAGGCATTTCTAGCTTTAATGCTAGATTGGAATTGACTTATTTATCTATTTTTGGATTAGCTTTTAACCTCAGGGCCTATTGTTTTTTAAAAAGATTCCAAGGTAAGAATGCTAATGTGATCTGAAACTTCATTCAGTTATATTTTTACCATTTATTCTAGCTCAATTTTCATTTTTGGCACTTTTGTTTTTGTAGCTTAGCTGATATGGCAGCCAATCCTTTCCATGCATTATTCTACCTTGTGTTTATGTTGTCTGCCTGTGCCTTGTTCTCTAAAACTTGGATTGAAGTCTCTGGTTCATCTGCTAGAGATGTTGCAAAGTAGTTGAAGGTAACTAACATGCACTTTTTTGTGAATTTATTATTTTATTTTCTAACTTTAGTACTTCAATAATATGACAAGAATCTAACTTTTATTATGTGTTCATAATGAAAGTTCACATTGTTTGATAAGCTGTGAGATGTTGCGAGTCTTGTTTCCCACTTAAATTGATGTTGGAAATTTCTACTTAAAACACTTGAAGCAGAATAACTAGGATTTAGTCTAAATTTAACTTTAGAAGTAATATTTTGTTTAATAAATAGTATTTGACCAAACTTTAAAGTCCAGTCATACACAACTTTAGAAATGTTCTCAACAATAAAGTTGTTTTCCTTTTTTTCTTTTTAAATAAAAAGTTGAAAAAGTAGAGCTTTAATATAAGCCTGTTAGAGGAGCTTCTACCTTTTGTTGAAGAGAAGCCCAAAAATGTTAAAAGCCAAACACTACCTAAAAGATATATTATTTCTAGCTTCAGCTTCATTTCAACTTTATTAGTAAGGCTTGTGTAAGTTAATCAATCTTATCTCTAAGCACTCTGTTTTGAAGCCATGGGAACTGATCTTTGTAGTGTGGAAAAATTCATGATTGATATGAATCTATCCGGTTAGTTATTAAAAGTTTGATGTCATAATATTTAGTTTTTTGTTTTGATTTTAAATTTGCAGGAACAACAAATGGTAATGCCTGGACATCCGGAGTCGAAAGTTATGAATCATGCAATATACATATTGAATCATTGATGATTCAAAAGTTAAATTGGCGATTCACCCTCCCCCCCCATCTATTTATTTTTTTTTTGGTTGCATTTGTTGCTGTTTATTGAGTCACAGATTTTCTTTGGGTTTGAAAAGCATGGTTTTTTTTTAATGAAGTTCTTGAATATAGAATACAGGTATGATACTTTTGCACACCTCCAATTTTCGGTATTTTTTTCTTTAATTGAATTGTTATCTCTTCTACAAAGCTTTATCATTAACAAAAAAAATTTAATAGAAATTATTGGTAATCTAATATATTTATTTTCCTGACATTCATTATTTTTCTATTAGTGTTTATTCTTTTATTATATCTTTCTGTTTCTCTTTGTTAATTATTCCTTCAATTACACCAATGTGCGTTGTTATTTTATTTCAATTTTTTGTATTCAAACCTTGACAGCAAAAGCAGAGAGACATGTGTAAATTATGTTATCTACTAATTTTTAATTTTCATTATAGTTTGTAATTTGTATGTTTTCTTGTTTTTTGAACTGAATCTGAATCTAATTAGATGAACTAGTCCATTTAAGAAAATAAAGCACTCCCTGGCCTTACTTTTTTTATTTTAAGAATCTAAGTTTAGTTTAACTCAATCTCTAAAATATTATTGTATTTATTTCATATTCTTTCTTTAGTTTGGTTACTGCTCCTAACCACCTCCTTGGGGATTAAATATAAAATATGAAATTTCTAAATCTATATATATGTTCATTACAGGTAATCAGAAATAATCCATGCTTATTTTTTTTTAAATGCAATCTACATCGATTCTCAAGAAAACCGATGTAGATTTAAGCATAAATCTACATCGGTGCTCCAGAGAATCGATGTAGATTTATGCTTAAATCTACATCGGTTCTAAAACTGATGTAGAATAGAGCGATGTAGAAAATGTATACATTTTCTACATCGCTCTATTCTACATCAGTTTTAGAACCGATGTAGATGGATTTAAAGAACCGATGTAGAATATGCATTATGTAGTAGTGCATGTGTTTGCCTGTTCACAATCTGGATAATGTTGAGACTGATGTTTAGAATGATGAGCAACATGGTGATGCTCAAGAGGAACATGATATGGTACATGATGATGATCTTGATAATGCTTATGAATTATCACAAGTCCCTTATAAGAGGTCCAACAGGTTGAGACAATCGTCTTCCAGGTATTCTTCTAATGAGTATGTGACCTTGATTGATGGAGGTGAACCTAAGTTTTTTGAAGAGGATTTGGAAAGTGAAGAAATGTAATAATGGCTAGATACAATGCAAGATGAGATAAAATCTATGCATGATAATCACACTTATGACTTGGTAAAGTTGCCTAAGGATAAAAGGGCCTTAAAGAATAGGTAGATTTTCAGGGTGAAGCAAGAAAGTAATTGTACATCTCTGAGGTACAAAACTAGATTAGTGGTGAAACGGTTTAGACAAAGAAAGAGCGTTGATTTCAATGAGATTTTCTTGCATGTGGTGAAGATGTCATCCATCAGAACTGTATTAAGTTTAACTACTACTCTTGATTTAGAGGTTGAGTAGATGGACACTACTAGAAAGTTACTATTTAATGTCGTCAATTCTACATTGGTTTAGGTAAAAACGATGTAGAAATCAAATGCAATGGCATTTTGTAAATAAGTATATAATATAAATATTGAGTGTTCTACATCATTTTTAGTGGGACCGATGTAATATTGAATACGCGGTGGAAATTTTGTGAATAATTATAAATAGATCTACATCTGTTCACCCAGTAATCGATGTAGTATTGAGAAGCGACATTTTGACCGAAAGAAATTAAAAAAAATTAAATAAATTTTGGAAATAAGTTATTTAAAAAACAATTTCCCAAAATGAATAATTTCAGCCACCTGCACTCAAAAATGTATTAAAAAAATAAATAAAAAAAAGGACGTGGTGCATGAAAGTATAAAAGACATTGCGGAATGTGATGTTTTGTGCACAATTTGGAACAAAACTTAAATCGCCAACTAATGTGACATGTTGTGCACAACTTGAAGTAAAACTAAAAATGCCATCTAATGTGACGTGTTGTGCAGCTCCAATCGCATGACTCCATGTAGTGTAGTCACCTTCGTGCAGTGTACTCACCTCCATGCAAGCTTGGGTAGATGTAGGCTCCCATGTAGTGTTGTCACCTCCATGCAGGCTGGAGTAGCTGTAGGCTCTCATGACTTCGATGCATTGGCTGGATGGAGTAGAAAATGTCAGGTTCATTGACGTTTTTTTACATGGAACCCTCGGTCAAAGATGGAACCAATAGTAGAAAATTGCAACGACTTTTTCCCTTCTTCCCAAGATGAAGCAAAAGAATGAAGAGTGAGGGAGAGTGCTCGCACTACTCCGTTTTAAAAGCAGAGTTGAGGGTGAAGGAGAGTGCTCACGGAGAGAGAAGAACAAGAGTGAAGAAGTAGAGAAAAAAAAAAGAGAAGAGGTAAGTTTAAATATTTGAATTTATTTTACTATTTTAAAGAATTTTACTATTTTATATGTATAATTTGTAGTTTAAAAATATATTTGTGGGAAATTTATTGATGATTAAAATTTAATATATGTAAAAATAATAAATTTTTAAGTATAATAAAGTATTAAAATTTTTATTTCTATGGTTTTAAGTATATAATTTGAATGTAATAGTATATGATTATTTTGATTAGGGTTTAAATTTTATTATGATTAAATCTAATTTTAATAATAATAATAATAATAATAATAATAATAATATTTTGTTGTTTGCATTTATATTTTAATGTGATAAATTTGATTATGTGAAACATTTGTTGATATTGTTGCTGGTTTAAATTTGTAGGAGTTTATATTTGTTCAAGTATTTAGAAATAGAATTATGAACAATGAATAATTGTGGTTTATGATTTTAATTTTGATTTTGATGTTGAGGGATAGGATAGAAGAGTGATTAGGTTAAAAAATGAATAATGAATATTTTTTGATATTGTTAATTAAATTGAAGTTAAAAAAATGTAAGTTATTTTTTTAATTAATTGTTGATATTTTATTTTCATGTATATTTAAAAATGTAATTGTTTTAATAATAATAATAATAATAATAATATGTCAAATATATATTGTTTTCAGTTATATTTTTAGGTTATAAATATGTATGTGTGAAATATTTGTTAATATTGTTGATGATTTAAATTTTCAGGAGTTTAGTGAAATATATTTTTAGGTTATAGATCATTAGTTATAGTTTTAATTTGGAAATAATTTTGTTATGTGGTATAAAATATAATTAATTAGAAATTAATTATTTTGTTAAATAAGTTGAAGTTAAAAAATAATTGTGTTGTTAATTAAAATAAAGTATTAATATTTTTGTTTGTATGGTTTTAATTATATAATTTTTATGTAGTAATAAAAGATTAATATTTTTGTTAATTAAATTGATGTTTTAAAATATTTATTTTTGTGGTTTTAATTATATTTAAGTGCTTAAATATTTATTAATTCAATTTAACGTGCACATTTTTTGAATTTGTATAATTTCATAATGCCTCATCTAAGAGTTAATCCGGGACCCATTGATGATTCTTTGCTGACTATGCAATCAATTAACGTCTTTGAACACATATGGAATGATGAGTCTGATAGAGTTCTTCGTATTAAAAGAGCTACCAAAAGTGGTCATCGAGATGGGTCAATTCCTGATGAAGTTAGACCTTATCTTGCACGAGCAGGGATGTTAGGAGTGGCAAAAATGTCATACTTTCCTATTGACCACCAGTTAATTTCAGCATTAGTTGAGCGGTGGAGACCCGAAACACACACTTTTCACATGACATTTGGAGAGCGTACAATTACATTGGAAGATGTTTCAATTTTTCTTAGTCTTAACTTACATGGAGACCCAATTATTGGTTGTTCGACATATAGATGGGTTCCACTTGTTGAAGATTTATTCGAAATTACAGCACCAACAACTACAATTAAAGGTGGAAGGTTGAAGATGAGTTGGGTCTATCAATTCTTTTTTTGATGTTTCCATGCATTTACACAACATGCACCAAATGGAATGATATGCCCGAGCTTATATTTTGCGATTACTTGGGGGTATGGTATTCTCTGACAAGTCTTCAACTCTAGTACTGATGTGATATTTGGTCATGTTAACAGATTCAGACCAATGTGGCCAACTTAGTTGGGGATCAACCTTGCTTGGTCATTTATATAGAGAACTGTGTTTTGCCACTAATTATGACAATAAAGAAATTAGTGGGGCATGTATTTTACTGCAGTTGTGGGCATGGTACCGGATGCCATATTTTGCACGGTTGTCTACTCAATTAAATATTATATTTAACATTAGATAAGTTTTTTTTAACATTAGATAAGTAATTTTAATTAATTTGTGAACTTTTTCATATTTTCAGGTGGAATAGTGTCATGCAGGTAACGCAAAGAACTCTTGTTCAGATTCGTGATGCATTAGATAAGATGAAGGATAAAGATGTACGTTGAGAGTTTTTATTGATTACAACTTTAAAGTGGATATATCTTAAAATTAATATTAATTTATGACTTTTTGTATTTTTTGTGTGCAATTTGTTTGGCAAGCAACACCTTCAATATTTTCATTCTCTACCACCATATTGTGTAGAGAACACAAATATTTGGAAGGTGGTAGTGCAATTAATAGACTTTCATATAATTGAGTGTCACCATGCTGACCGTGTGATGCGCTAATTGGGTATGGTAAAACACATTCCTCGTCCTCCAAGTCAACCAGATAATTTGCACGATCTAACTTTACGCGGCAAAGATGATATTGATTGGCGAGTTCAGCACTCTATCTTTATACATGAGTGGCAAACAAGATTAGATCGTGTCTCGACACAAGAAGCTTGTACTACTACACATTTAAGTATTAGTTCAAAGTACATGGTGTGGTATAAAAGACACACCAGACGTTGGATTGGGCATATTACAACAAAACAAGGTTATGTGGTAAGTTATATATAACAATAAATGTTTTATAATTAATTGTTTTGGTTGCTTATATTTTTGTTTTATATTAAGTTGAACATGTAAACTTCACATTAATTTATTTACAGGAGGACATTATTGAGGAAATGTATCATAAAGCCAAAATAGAACCTAGAAGCAATTTTTCAATAGAAGAATTTACTGATAATCTTGCTAACTGCTTAGAGGTTTATGGTGAATTCCATCGACTTCAATATCCCTCTACAGGTGCTCCACCACCATCAAAAGACGAGCTTGAACCAGTTGTTGTGGAAGATATTTGTGTAGGTCGACGAGAGGGTCGTGGCCTTGGACGTAGACGTAGGCGTGTAGATCACCAGCCTATAGATATATATATTCCAGCACATGACCCCCCTACAGGTAGTTATTACGCTTATCCAATGACACCATGCAGAGGTTATAGTGAGTATGTATATACTTCAGGTGATACTAGTGGAGAAAGT